GGAGAGTACGCGTCGTATCCTGGAAGTCCTCGGCATTCTGTGATTCGTCTCCGAAATCAAACAAGAAAACAGATTATCAACAACAACAGAGAATTCAGGAAGCAGAGCAAGAGCAGGAGCAAGAGCAAGAGCGAGAGCGAGAGCGAGAGCGAGAGAGAGAGCAAGAGAGAGAGAGAGAAATGTGAACGTTAGTTGCTGCGATCCTGAATTTATACGCTTCCATTTCTCTTTGTTAGTTCGAATTTCAATTTTTCTTTGTCATTTCAAATTTTAAATTTTGCGAACGTTTAATTTTTTTCCGTTGTGTTAATTATATTATATAATTAGTTCTATATTTCTCTGTTATTTCAGATTTTCATTTTCCTAATTATTGGTTAATAAAAAATCGTCTGCACCGCCGCCTTCTCCGTCGACCGGATCCGGCGAGCTCTCCGACATCGTAGGCATCTAGCGCCGAAGGAGCAGGGTCTGTGGTTGGGGACCCCGATCGATCTCGCCATCGACGGAGATGGTGTCGATCCGAATCTGGAACAGGTCAAAGGCCGAGGAGGCGGTGGAGAAGTTCGTCGTCGTGGCGGACGAGACGAAGCTAGTTTGGCGATGCCGGTGGAGCTACAATCTGATCAGATGGAATTTGGCTGAGAACCGATGGAGATGGGAAACCCTACGTGACGGATAACAGCTATTACATCGTGGTCTGTTTTAGGGTAAGAATGCCGTTGAAGTGAGTATGATTGAAATTTTCTCTTTGAATCCTGCAAATGATTTAGCAGAAAGAGCTTAATGATCAAGTGTCGTCATGAAAACAAATCCAATTTCTGGGAAATCATGCTGCTACTTTCCCTGAAGATCAAATCACTTGTTCCCAACTTTGTAGAATATCTTCGTTTGGGAGTTTTGACTTGAGAGAACCGTTTCGTTTGTAGTTTTCATAGGTTTGTTATTGCTAATAAAAGGTATATGTAATATTTTTCATACAAATCTGTATGTTTTTTTTACAAACAGATTATCAAAGAAACAGATTATGTGTTTATTCAAATGTAAAAACATATATTTTTTGTGTTATCATCTTCAGGAGCAATCTATTTAGACACATAAGTTTGCATCTTGAAAATAGAATTATCAGAATTTCCTTCTTGTAACTAATGGGCAAGATAAAGCTTTTACAACTGACCGTAAAAGCTTCGGCTTTGGGGATACAATTTTATAGATTTAGTTGGCAGTGTATGGTGCTTGGCCGCTAGTTGATCCTGTAAAGAGTCTCGAATTTGTTTAGACAAAGGAAAGAGACAAAAATGCCTTTTCCTCCGAATGAATGGGATTGAAGAAAGAAAACAGAAGAAGAGGTGTCCCACGAAAGAGAGAGAGATGTAGACAATTTATTGTTTTTTATTATCATAAAATGTCATCAATGCCATCATCATCATCTTCTTCTTCTTCTTTGTTGTCATCGTCATGATCCATGCTGCCACGCTGTAGTGGTGTATATACTTGATTTAATTACAATAATTGATTAACTGATGTCAAGTAATTATAATATATATATATATATATATATAATACATTCTCTACAACACCCATTTCCAACTCGCTGGATTTTAATTTTATTGCTACATATATATTTTTTTTAAAAAAACGAATTTCTTTTTAACGTTTCAGAAACGGGTATTGGCAGAAATCTTATCCGTTTAAACAATTGAAAAATTCGCAAGTGGGTTATTTATTATTGTATTGCTTCAGAGTTCATATGAAGGCCAAATTTTTTTGGTTCAAGTTTTTTAAGGTCAGTATACAATTTTCATTGAAATAGAATTTCGTTCAATTACAAACGGGTACATTTTGTTTGTACATATCGATTTAATGATATACTATAGTATATTTCTTTTTTCGTACAACGAACCATGAAACCTCTGCTTCAAGACATGATTAGCTTATATGTCAAACATTAATTTATTTATTATTCTCCTAATAGAGATTTTTCAAGTTGTGGGGTTCACGTCGACTCCCCCTCCATATGCACATGCATGTAGATGATGGTACAATCTTATGTTATTTATCATCGTCGTCATGAAAAGAACTTGACATGGACAAGGGACAGACAGCTGTCTTTTGTTCATATGTGTGTAGAAAACGTGCATCGTCACGTTCAGTACATTTCTCGGGGCCTAGCATTTAGGATAGCATCCTTTGTAAGATTATTTTAATTTTTTTTTAACAGATTATTATAACTGCAGTAAAAAATATACAAATAAAATGAAAAAAGGTAAGGATTTTTCTGGTCAATTTTCATTAGAAATAATTTCAATGACGATGAATAAGCAAACGAGTGTAGTGTGTGTCGTTGTTACCATCACGCTGATCCAAATGCCTTTGGCCCAAAAGAGTTGATGGGCTTTTTTTAAAATGTTATAATAATGGCCCAATGGGTAGCGGCTGCTAAGGCCCACTAGTATAAGCCCACGTCTGAGTGTGTTTTACACCATCATCATCATCATCATCATCATCATCATCATCATCATCATCATCATCATCATCATCATCATCATCATCATCATCATCATCATCATCATCATCATCATCATCATCATCATCATCATCCGAGATTACGAGCTTCCATCCCAAATTCTTGGATAACTGTTATTTACGTACTGTACTTTTCCGCAAAAGCTTGTATTTTGAAATTTGAATTTATAAAATTTAAACTAACAGAATTTAATTAACATATAAATAATATTATTTTTTTACAATAAGGCACTTGCTGTAGAAAAATAAAATGCAGAAATTAAATTAGAAAGAAAGAACAAAATATAAAAGAACAGAAACACTTTTATTGCTACATCTCTTCTTCTTGTTCTATTATAATGAAAATAACTCACATATTTATAGAAAAATTAACAAATGAAATAAAAAAAAATATAGATATAACGGAAATAAATATGATTCACAATATTTAACATAATATTGTGTTCCTCCAAAATCTAAATTTTCCTCCAATCACATATTCATTTTCCTATTTCAACATTCCTCCTCAAGATTGATTTTGAAAGAATGCAAAAATCAATCTTGAAAAGATAATGCGATAAAAATCCATAGACATTTTCATTGTCTTTTGAAAAATCTATAAACACCAAATTTAGTTCTTTTAGAGAATATTACCCATGTTCAAATCATTTCGCTTGACTTTGAAGTTCTACATTTAACTCTTTTTGTCATAGCACCTCGCTTGATCTTAGAGTTTTTAGGTTTGACTTCTTTTTGTCACAGCACCTCCTCGTTTGATTTTGGGATTTTTACTCCCATTTGAACGATTTGGATATATGAACTTCCAAAAAAAAAAAAGAGATTGAGAAAAAAAAGATATAGAGCAGATCGAATCGCTCTGATACCATGTAGAAAAATAAAATGCGGAAATTAAATTAGAAAGAAATAACAAAATATAAAAGAACATAAATACTTTTATTGCTACATCTCTTCTTCTTGTTCCATTACAATGAAAATAACTCACATATTTATAGGAAAATTAACAAATGAAATAAAAGGAAATATAGATATAACGGAAATAAATATGATTCACAATATTTAACATAATATTGTGTTTCTCCAAAATCTAAATTTTCCTCCAATCACATATTTATTTTCCTATTTCAACACTTGCTTACTCTCACGTGCACCTGTCTCCGAACAAAAGGATGAGGAACATCTCTCTCTCGACAAATGTGACCAAAGCATGTTGGCTGTTTTTCTATTTTATTTTATAAGCGTATATCATTATATAGGAAATATTTTGATTTAGTTATTTTAAAAATACATATTTATTGATTTTGGGTTCCATTAGAATTATTAGGATTATATTCCTACTTAACTTTTTATTATAATATATTTATTTTTAAAAAATTTATTCGAATTTTTTTAGGCTATATACTGTATTCGATTCAAAATGAAAATAAAAAAGAAATTAAATTTTGTGTCATTGGTTATCAAGTTGATATACACAATGTAGTTTATGTGTTCGATCCAAATTTATAAAAGGGGAAGTAGTGTAACCGATTTAATTAAATTTTAACTGATATGTATTAAAGTGTAAAACTGACAACTGTGCTTAGATCTTCTTCGTTTGGAAATTAAAATATTCAGTTGTCAAATCAAATAAATATTTACTCTATCGAATAACCAATCAAACCATATGGATCCCACACTTCTTCCACATTGGGTTTGCAGCCTGGCGATCCAATTATTTTTATTCTCCATGTTACTTATCATAATCCCTAAAATACCCTTGTCGGCTATCATTGGCTCTCCATTGCCAAGACTTGGGTTAATTAATTTACTAATTATATGAATGCTTATCTTATTTCTCCACCAAAAGAATGTTATATACATAATTTAACCTCTCTTTTACTTTCGTGTTATTTTTGTGATTACTTTTGTTTTCTTGTTATAATTTTCTAATGTTTAAATATTTTAATTCCATGGGCAAAAGAGTAAATTCGTTAAACAAAATCAAAACCAATTATTAAAGCTCTTCTCCCATTGCATGGATCTTAGAATAGAAACTCTCTCCCTCTCCCTCCCTCTCTCTCTCTCTCTCTCTCTCTCTCTCTCTCTCTCTCTCTCTCTGTGTGTGTGTTCAAACAGATAGAAAAATGGAGAGGAGAAGAAGCTTGAGCTCGTCTTCAATGGCGGCTCTGTTGTTGTTCATCGTAACTCTAACGGCTTCATCACCATCCCTAGGTGTCGCTGCAACTCCAAAGCAATCCTTCGAAGACAATTTCAGCATCATGTGGTCTGAAGATCACTTCAAGACATCTGAAGATGGCCAGATCTGGTACCTCTCCCTCGACAAAGAAACCGGTAAGATCACCATCTCTTCTCCTGGACTGTAATAGGTTCAACACAAGAAGAGATTGAAAGATTAAGACTTTTAATCATCCATTACATGAGATTAATCGATTTTAGCAAAAATAGGATGTGGGTTTCAGACAAAGAACAGCTACAGATTCGGATGGTTCAGCATGAAGCTTAAGCTTGTCGGCGGCGACTCTGCAGGCGTCGTCACCGCCTACTACGTAAAACCCCTTTTTCAGCCACGTTTCCTCTGTTTATCGATCTTTTTTCGGGTAAATTACTTTGATTAATCGATGAAATGACGATGAAACATTGATATCAGATGTGTTCGGAGAACGGAGCCGGGCCAGAGAGAGACGAGATCGACTTCGAGTTTCTGGGGAACAGAACAGGACAACCTTATATCATACAGACCAATGTGTACAAGAACGGGACCGGCGGTCGGGAAATGCGACATCTTTTATGGTTTGATCCCACTGAAGATTACCACACTTACTCCATCCTTTGGAACAATCACCAGCTCGTGTGAGTATATATATATATATCGAATCCCTCATATATATGTGTATATATATGAGAATGAATGATTCTGATAATGGGTTTGATCCGAAAACTCGAAACAGGTTCTTCGTGGACAGAGTTCCGATCAGGGTTTACAAGAACAGTGACAAAGAGCCGAACAATGACTTCTTCCCGAACCAGAAGCCGATGTACTTGTTCTCCAGCATCTGGAACGCCGACGACTGGGCGACGCGTGGCGGTCTGGAGAAGACTGACTGGAAAAAGGCTCCGTTCGTTTCGTCGTACAAGGACTTCTCGGTCGAGGGTTGCCGGTGGGAGGACCCATACCCTGCGTGCGTCTCGACCACAACGGATAACTGGTGGGATCAGTATGACGCGTGGCACTTGTCCAAGGATCAGAAGATGGATTACGCTTGGGTGCAGCGTAATCTCGTCGTATATGATTATTGCCGGGACCTGGAGAGGTACCCTAAGCTGCCATGGGAGTGTAGCATCAGTCCCTGGGCCTGAAGAAGATGAAGAAGAAAAACCAAGATGGGTTTTTCTATTTAAAGCTCTGTTTTTTTTTTGTTGTTGTTGTTGTTTGGTGTTTAATTATTTAATTATTTAATTATTTGATTTATTTTCCAACCCATCAGTCAGACAAAAGATCATGAGAAAGTCAATGTTCAGATCTGATCCATGAACTGATTTGATTCATATCAAGGCATATACAAAAACAAAAGTTTCTTTTAATCTGTAGCTATATGTATATATATGCTTGTGAAAATCCACATTCATTTACATTGTGACTGATAAAGCATTATCCATTTTATTTAAACATCAAAAGATCAGGGAATGGAATTAATAATAATAATAAAACATTTCTATATAGATCCATCCAATATTATAATTAATATATGAATCTGTTGATATTGGGCCTCACGGATTATACATTAAACGTTTTAGGATTTCTCTGAATCAGAAATGGGCTTTTCGTCCTCTCTCTTTATCATATTTCAATTTTTTTTTTCACCTTTGAGAGGCAAAAAGGGAATGTCAAGATTCTTAGGTTATCGAAAATGTGCGTCTGTGAGTATGTTTAACACTTTTGCAGGGGAATGTCCCTCCAACAAGCAATCTTAATTTCATCCAATCATTTAGATTTACTATCTTCAATAATACCATATCATATCATATTATATATATATATAGAATGGGTATAAATAACTTTATGTCCATGTTGATGTACATTCTTTTCTTCATCGTGTGATATTCCCATCACATTTTCATGGTATCTTTTGCTTTTCTCCAACACTTACACTATACATATATAACCTCACCTCCTCGTCATTTTAGCCTCCAATGACCCACCAAACATTTTCCCCGGAAAATCTCTAAACTTTTCTCGGCAAACAGCCTTTCACGATGAACACCAAAACCTCTCTGCCAGTTCGATCCGACCCCTCGACCCGACCCATCAGCCGCCACCACTCGGCCACCTACTTCGCTCACCGAGTCAAAGAGAGTCTCACAACACGAGTCTCCAAAATCATATGCGCCATTTTCTTATCCCTTTTACTATGTTTAGGCATTGTCACGTTCATATTATGGATCAGTTTACGTCCACATAGGCCACGTTTTCACATCCATGGGTTCTCGGTCTCGGGTTTGGACCGACCCGACGGATTCGAAACCGCTCAGATAAATTTCAACGTTACGGTTCGAAACGCTAACCAGAACGTTGGTGTGTACTACGATTCAATGGTGGGGTCCGTTTACTACAGGGAGAAACGGGTCGGGTCGACCCGGGTTCTAAACCCGTTTTACCAAGAGCCGAAGAATACGACTTGGGTCAACGGGGTTTTCGGTGGGCCCACATTGTCGGTGAATAAGGACCGTTGGATGGAGATGGGACGAGACCGGGATCGAGGGAAGGTTGTGTTCCGGTTGGAGATCGTGTCGTTGATTCGGTTCAAGGTGTACACGTGGCACAGCAAGAGCCATCGGATGTATGGTAATTGTAACGTGGTGGTTGGCCGAGATGGGATGATTTTGGGTGAGACCAAGGACAAGAGGTGTCCGGTTTATTTCACCTGATGTTGAGAACCTTTTCATTTTCATGTGTGTTTTGAGAATATTTTTATGAAGATGTTTCGTACCTTTTTTTATAGCATAATTAAGATATTATCGTCAAGTAGTTGTATAAAAAACAATTATTGTGAAAAAAATAATCTGATACCTTCAGAAAGAATCCAAAACGTATTAAAAAAATTATATGTATTGATTCGAAAAATATACATTTTTTATACAATTCTCAATATCTAGCTATATAGAGCCAACCCATGATAGTTTGCCTGGGATAATGAATTTGCGTTGTGATTTCTTCAAACATGTGAATTGGACACCACACCACACCCAAGAATCTTATATATAATTAAAAAAACTCTGTAATGTGTATTTAATCTTGGAAATATTCGGACCATGATTCCTCATACAAAATTCTTATATATAAATCTTATTTAGAAAATTGTTCAAAAATTTACATATACACCTTTGTTCAATTTGCATAAAACTACTTAGGTTTTTCCATGTTTTTATTTGAATTTATCACAAAATAAAAATATTTAATATAAGCTAAATCTAACAGATTCTAGACAAACATAGATATACTATAAATTAAGAAATATAAAATAATATTGGAATTCGTTATTATTCAAAGTTTAGAATTATAATAAATAAAACTAAAATATAATTGTAAATAATTCTAATTACCTGATATAAATTGACAAACCTAATTTAAATTAGAAATATAATAACATAAAAAACTCTATTGTAGGTAACATTTTCAAATAAAATTTAAATTTAATAAATTCTAAATAAATACTACATCAATTTCAAATACGGTCTTATTTCGAAGAAAAAGAACGGAATAATGAAATTTATTGTTTATATGCAAGGGGAGTTGGGATCGAACAAAAAGTCAAAGGAGAACATGGTACGATGACCACAACACACATATATATATATATATATAATATACATATATATATATATATATATATATATATAATATATATATATATATATATATATATATATATATATATATATATGTATTGTAAAGGTTAACTCAAGAAAGGAAGGCACGATGACCAAAATATTTTTTTTTTTTTTTACAACGGAGGAGTAAAAATATATAAAATACATGTATTTAAATATATATATATATATATATATATATAAATATATATGTATATATAAATATATATGTATAAATATATATAAATATATATATATTATATTTTTCAATTGATTTTTCAATTAAAATCTAAATTTCCAACTGATATCCGTTGGAATTCCGTTGGAATATTTTTTTAAAATTTTTCAAAAATATTTCCAACCGATATCCGTTGGAATTCCTTTGGAATTTTTTTTAAAATTTCCAAAAATCAAGAAAGGAAGGCACGATGACCAAAATATTTTTTTTTTTTTTTACAACGGAGGATCCCTATCTACTACCCTTCGGGCGTGCTCACTAGGTAAACCTCCGGCTCGGGAGCAGCCTTTGTATATGGATCATATAAATCCAGAAATTACCTTCATCCTCACCAGTTAAGAATCGAACACTCAACCTCAACGATGACTAAAATATTATACAAATTTTCAGCAGATATCCAAATTTTACAACGGATGAACATGGAAAAAAGATGCATAAAATGATACAATGTCGCTATAACATGTGTTGATTTTATCTGTTATTGTTGGTGTACGTCTCGTGTGTACAACCAAGGGGTAAGTCCACAACACTTTGGTCTAATAAAATAAGAAACGTACGTTACAGATAAGTATATATATTATTTAATGGTCATCATATGCTGATTGGGACATGTATCCAAATATTTATTTTGAAATAATCCCCACATCTGAAATATACATACATATATATATATATATATATATGTATATTAAAAAAGACAGCAAATGATGCGAAAGATGTCTCGTTCGGTTCCATTTAAAAACAATCACTGTTAAGAGACAAGTAGACAGAAATTGAGACACAATAGTTATTATTGTTATTCAATTATTATTCAATAGCAGTTTGCATTGATGTTTCTCACTCGCTTATACAGTTTGTTCTTATCTCTTTCGTCACACAAAATCCAACAAAAAACAGTAGTTTTATATATACATACGGTATCATATACGTATAAATATACGAATCTTATAACAAATGTGACTAAAATATAGATACATAAGATTCTTTCTTGGTAATATGTTTGAAGATTATTGTTGTCCATCATAGAGGTGAAGACAAGTTGGAAGATTATCCTATACTATATATTGGCGCACATCAAAACGTACAAACACAAACAAGCTTCGATATTAACTTTATTTTATTTAAATGTCCGACACGTCATACTTGTCATTAAATCAAATACAATTATTAACAAAAATGGTATTGGAATTCCATACTACCTTGTTATTATTGAAAATATCTAATTATTATCTTAAGTACTTGTTCGATATTTGCCTATAGATGTAAAATACTTTGGTAAAACAAAAACAATATAACATCGATGAATCGATTCAAACCATTTGAAAATACAATTTTTAGTCTAAAATTCATCGTCGTAAAGGTGTAAAACGAACTGCTTCGGCCCCGTCCAACCCGCATCATTCCGTTATAGGAATATTTTAGCTCAATCTAATCCAGTCCATTTTTTAACAATCCAAAATTGATCAGTCTAACCCACATTGCGTTAGCCCACGAACCAAACGAGCCGACTCGTGAGCCAAATATTTTTTTTAAAGTTAAATATTAAAAAATATTATAAAAATTTAAAAATTTATAAATATAATAAAAATTAAAATTTTAAACAAAACAAACTAAATATCTAATAAAAATATATTTTTTATATAAAATATTTAGAAATATATAAAGATCTAAAAAAAATTTAAAAAATTATTTTTTTCTGGTTTGCAAGTCCGCTCGTGGGTTCGACGAGCAGCTTCGTTTGTTTTTTTTACTCAAATATTTTGAGTCCGGACTCAGAAAAATATGGGTCAGCTCGCGAACTAATCCCTGAAACGAACTCGTTTTACACCCTAACTTTCAGCCTAATTAAAGAAATACAATTCTTTAAAAAAAAACAATTTACCTCAAATAATTCTAACAGGTTCCTGATAAATAATAGCATCTAAAAACAGAGTATTTCTGATTGATTCCCTTTCGTTTTGATTTATATTTTCCCTTTTAATTTGGCCTACCCGAATCATGTGAACAAGGCCATAAAAGTTACGGAAGATATGCATTATGAAAAGAGGACAAAATTCATGTCAGCAAAATCCAGTCTCGATCCATATGCTGCCACGTGGACAAACATGTGATGTCCCTCATTTATAAATATTTCAACTGCTATAATTTTTAAAATATAAAAAGTGCATTCAAGGACGAATTTCTAATCAGAAATGATTACTATTAGATTACAATTAAAATTAACATTAATAAACAGAAAGTATTGTTAGGGCTTCCAGGTCAGAATTTGCAGCTATGGCAAGTGTTGGAGAGATAAGTTTCGAAGAGGTTGATCTTCCATCACATCAATGCATACCTCATTGTTGTACATTTGAAATTATATATTTTTCCTAATTATTATTATTATTATTATTAAATTTTGAATTGAATCTTGCATTTTCCCCTCAAGACAACGTGTTATATACGTATTTAGTAACATCCCATGCATATGCCACTTTTTGAATGCCAACTCAGTTGCTTGGTCAACATCGGTCAACGATTCAATATTTCACTATATCATCATAACATCATTTCATGATTAAATAATATTCAAACATGACTCAGTCGTAGATATTTAGACAAGTGTTACGAATTATCTACAAAACTTGTCTAAACTAAAATTCTGTTTCTTTACAAAAAAACAAACAAACTAAAATTCTGTTTATTTTCAACCTTAATAACAAAATTTTCCCAATAATCTTTTCTTTTTGAAATTTTATCCTATAATCTTTAATGTGCAAAATTCAGATAATTTGTTTACATCTCACGAAGAAATCAAATCAGATAATATGTACACTACAAATAAAACAAATTTTTAGTGGGGGTCACATGCAATGCACACTATTGTAATAATAAAAATATACATGTTAATCATTGACTGCTCTCTACGCCGACAATTATAAAAAGACTATTTGAAAGACAAAAAAAAATACTATAAAACGGAATACACAAATTCGTAGAAGTGGATTTAAATATTTTAATATTTTTTTTACTATAATAGAAATTAATCACATATTAGGTTAAACCATTGATAATCATTAACAAATCCTAAAAAGACGATATTCACTTTTCTATATATAAATACTGCCCGTATATAGTTTTTCAATTTACACTTTTTTTTTACAAATTTCTATTTTATCAAGTAATTTTAATGGCGAGGGCGAATAATAAAAGATCTACAAAGGAGGTCTTAATCTCCGACCGGACCACTTGCACTTATTTGTCTCTTTTAGATAAATATACTATTCGTTTATTTTTCCTATTTTATTTTTATTTACATCTCCAATTTGACATGCACTGCGATTCCCTTTATATATAAACCCACGACGCGCACACAAATCCCAACACAACAGATAAAAAAAACCCCCAAAGTTTTAAACCTTTCGAAAAATCACCACAATAAAAATATGAGGATCAATTTGGTCCCTGCAGTTCTCTCCCTCGCAATCTTCTTCATCATCTTCACCCCGTCTTCTGCAGAAACGCCAGAACCCCTTTCGATTCTGTCTTCCGCCAATCAAATACTCAACCAAACAAGCCAATGGCTGGGTTTCCCGGCGAAATTCGACCAACCCAGGATCGAATTCTCCGCCGCCACCGTCGTTGCCGCCGTGCTCAGCTTTGTCTCCGCCGCGATTTCTAGTGCCGGCGGAATCGGAGGCGGCGGATTGTACATACCCATCATGACGATCGTTGCCGGAGTCGACCTGAAAACCGCCTCGAGCTTCTCGGCGTTCATGGTCACCGGAGGATCTATTGCAAACGTCGGATCAAATCTCTTCGTCAGGAACCCTAAATCAGGAGGACAAACCCTAATCGATTTCGATTTAGCGCTGCTTTTGGAGCCATGTATGCTGCTCGGCGTGAGCGTCGGTGTAATATGCAACCTCGTCTTCCCTAATTGGCTCGTCACAATACTCTTCGCCGTTTTTCTCGCTTGGTCAACGATGAAGACCTGCAACAATGGAATTCACCACTGGAAATTGGAATCGGAGGCGGAAAAGATTAAAGGGTCGAATCAAATCGATGGCAATGAGCAGAACGAGGATTCAAAAGAGCCTCTTTTGGGATCTGATGGAGATTATGAGAGACCGAGGAGGTTTCCGTGGATGAAGCTTGGAGTTCTGGTGATTGTCTGGTTCTCGTTCTTCGCTGTTTATCTTCTTCGTGGCAACAAATATGGAGAGGTTAGTATTTCCATAATCTTCATGACGAATTTTGTTTATTTTACCTTTTTGTTTTTGTTTTTTCTGTGATTGAATCTTATGATTTTCGTTAGAGCTTTCTTGCTTGAAGGCGTAGATTTTGTTGAAAAGGGAGAGAGAAACAAAAAGGATTGTGTTTGCTTAAAGAAAGGGATTTAAAAAACATTTAAAGAACCTGAAGATCTGCCTAAATCGATTACATAATCTCATTGTTAGATTCTCAATGCTTTTAAAAGTCACATTTTTTCTTGAAAAAAAAACCCAACTTGAGAAAAAAAAAGAGAGACAATCTTTAGACCTAAAAACTCCATTTTTCTTGAAAGTTCAACTTTTTAATTCAAAAATGTTTTTTTTTTTACCATTTTTAAAAATAAAATTTAGTTTTTTTAAATGAAGAGAGAATCATTAAAAGCTGATAAAAAGGAACAATAAAAATGGGGAATAAGAAACTTAACGTGGAAAGAAAGCGAGGAACATTAAGATGGTTCAGGAATATTCGGTGGGCACTTTTATGTTTTAAATGAAAAGTGCCATTCCTCCTAATCTTTGGAAAAAAAAATCATTTCCTTTTCGAAGTTCTATCACCACACAAAATTTTAGATTTGGCCTTACATGATTTTAAATATTTTATGCATTTAAAGATTTAAATGGAAAATAAAGTTTGAGATGGAGCCCTTTCTAGTTTTTTTGCAATCTTGATAAAAATCTATAGAGAGAGGACAAGTCTTTCTTTTCCATTCGGTTTTTAGATTATAGGGTTCATATATCGTGTTTGTGTATATATATATATACACATGTGTGTCTTAAAGTCTAATATTTTCTTTGGAACACTTTAAAGTCTCATCAAAACCGTGTTTGGTTAGGCCGCCGCCCATGGTGCCCTCTTCTGGAATAACCACGATTATTCTTTCTCCAATTTTTTTTATTTGTTTATATCTATTATTTAATTTAAAATAAAAAGGATCAATTTTTAAAAAATAATGAATTCGCAGTTAAAACAATTATAATAAAAAGATTTTAAATTTAAATTCGAACAAAAAAAAAGATAGGTTGAGAAATAAATGAGAAGCAATTTAATTAAAACACGTTGCGGGGTTTTTCTCATCTACTTTCCTGTCTTTTGTCTCCCCCCCCCCACGTGGTCAAGACTTGTCTTTTTCCTCCCTGGATCCTCTTCTGCATTTCACTTTTAGAGATGCTTTCCTTTTCAGCGCGCCCACAAAAAAAAAAAAAAAAAAATGGATACCCTTTCAGGGTTTTGTTGAGCTATGTATACGTACCTTTCAAGGGTTGTAATTAAGAGTCGAGCAGCTTGGGTGAATTTGAATGGATAGTTTGGCATATTATTGCTTTCCAGTTTCATGATTCATGACTCTTACGAGTAACTGGGCATTGATCAGGGAATCATATCGATCGAGCCATGTGGAGTAACTTACTGGGTTCTTTCTTCACTCCAAATACCGCTTGCTCTGGTTTTCACTCTCTGGATCTGCTTCAGCAACAGCCTCCAAGCTCACGGTCCAGACCACCAAGACGAAAAGGTCTCAAACAGATTCCCTAAATTCAAAGTTTTGAGCTTTCTTTGTGCGTTGATCTTCGAGACGGCTGACGAATCTGTGTAATTGTGCGGTCAGGACATCGAAGATTTGACTGCAAGCGATGAGGGAAGATCGAACAAGTGTATGTTCCCTGTAATGGCTCTCCTGGCTGGTTTGTTGGGCGGTCTTTTCGGTATTGGAGGCGGAATGCTCATTAGCCCGCTTCTTCTGCAAGTCGGTATCCCACCTGAGGTAAGGTTCTTGGTCGCATTTCCGTGTTTTCTCGAAATGGAATGGCCACGAGTTACAAAGACTCAGAGTTTTCTTGTCCCCCTTTGACATGTTCCAGGTAACAGCAGCGACATGCTCTTTCATGGTTCTGTTTTCTTCCACGATGTCGGCTATCCAGTACATCTTGCTGGGCATGGAACACACGGGAATCGCTACGATATTCGCCGTTGTATGCTTCGTGGCTTCGATCATAGGACTCATCGTGGTTCAGAAGGCGATCAACGAGTATGGAAGAGGTTCGATCATCGTGTTTTCGGTAGGTATAGTCATGGCACTGAGTACGGTTCTGATGACAAGCTATGGAGCTCTTGATGTCTGGAACGATTTTGTCTCTGGTCGTTATATGGGTTTCAAGTTACCATGTTGAGGCGTCCACCCAAAAAAAAAGTTTTTTTTTTCTTCTCCAGGTATAGTTTTGTATATCCACGTCTGCAATAAATCCACGTCAGCTCTACGTTCTTGCATGTGTTTTTGTTACTTGTATGCATTTTGTTCTGTATTGATTCAAAATCCATTTGTACGATGCACACCTCGTGCATTTTCGTGTTCTATTTGTATAATTATAATGTTATTTTTAGGGTTCTTGTTCTATTAAATGTTTGACAAGATACGACGTTTTATTTTACACCAAATATACCATGACACGAAATGGAACGCCAAGTCATACAGAACATGAACTGAAAACACTTGAAATTCAAAATTAAATATAAAAAATCAAGGAGTTTGAAATATTTTCACGTGTTAAGTCAATGTGTAAATGAGAAACAAGCATGTGCATGTAGCATGCATGCAGCGGAACGTGAGGAGAAGTGAAGGCTGGGATTATCATAATTTTTTTTTTGGTTAAAATTGTTTATTTGATTTTGTTGTCTGAAACAGAAGATCCAACCGACACTATTCAGTTCTTCGTCCAGGTTGTTCTTTCACGACTATTCAGTTCCGTATCTTTTGGAAAAGAATGATTCTTGGTTGATATTTTATCAGTTAAAATACTCTATAAATGGCAATTTCTTTCTGATGTTTCTATAAATATTTTCTGCAATCTCTCTTGTTGGTTTCTTTCGTGGATGTCAAATCTTACGTTTATGGAATCTTCTGTCTCAGTAGGAAACAGAATTTGCAGATACGCTGAGGAGAAGACAGAAGCAGAAACCATGTCTGAAACAAATCTCCCCCCATAATATTCTCTTGTGAATTACTCTTATATATAGCTTCTTCTTGGGTCCGAAAGAACATTCTTGAAGAAGATGAATGGGGTTTGGGTTTGCCTCAAGAGGCCTCTCAACTGCTGCTGCAGTTCCCGAAACTCGGGAGATGTTCATGAGCCTGTCAAGAGCCAAATCCAGAGGGCAAGTACTCCTCGTTCAGGGAGTTCAAGATCTCTGTCTAATCTGAGAAATCTCATGATTCCAAGCTCCGAGTTTCTTAATGCATCCAGATTTGACGATTTTGTCATCAACGATTCGAATATATGCAAATGTGTTGAATCAAGCCTGACGGTTCGATGCAGTCATGTCATAAGCTCGAGCTCTGCATTTTCTTCGGACATATACACTGCCTGTTCTTGTTCTAATCAGAGGCATGGTTTGGCGTCTCTCGAGTCTGATATCTGCGAGTTTGGAGCTATGGCTTGCCGGAGATGTCACCTGAAAGTCAAAGATCTCGAAGCTTTCGAGGCTCATTTCCTTTCAAATCATGCTGGTAATTAAGATTTCGTCGAATTTCCCTGAATAAATCCTCATGAATTCAGATCAATGTCTAATCAGAAATCGGTTTCTTTGTTATCTGAAAAACGTTTTACCTTTTACTTTTTTCAGTCTCCAAACTTGTAGCAGGAGATTTTTCCCGACAAGTAGTGGAGCTGATATGCAACATAGGCTCTTCTATCATATCTGACAAAACCCGAGCAAACATCATGGCGATTCTGAAACTCCATAACATGCAAAAGACCATTGCAGAGTTTGAGAACTACAGAGAAACCATAAAGATAAGATCCAGCAGGCTTCCAAAGAAACATCCACGCTGTCTGGCCGACGGAAACGAGTTTCTTGGATTCCACGGCACAACTCTAGCTTGCTCTCTTGGTCTGAACCACAAAAAAAAATACTATAAAACGGAATACACAAATTCGTAGAAGTGGATTTAAATATTTTAATATTTTTTTTACTATAATAGAAATTAATCACATATTAGGTTAAACCATTGATAATCATTAACAAATCCTAAAAAGACGATATTCACTTTTCTATATATAAATACTGCCCGTATATAGTTTTTCAATTTACACTTTTTTTTTACAAATTTCTATTTTATCAAGTAATTTTAATGGCGAGGGCGAATAATAAAAGATCTACATGGGTTCTCCTCCAAGACAAGAACAGACGGAGTTAATGGAGTTCTGGTGACTTCTATGAGCGTTAGCGCTCTGGAATGCATTGAAATGGATCGATCGGGAAGAAGCAGGAGGATAGTGCGGGCTCTGGTTCTATGTAGGGTCATTGCAGGGAGAGTTCATAAGCCTCTGAAAAGATTTGAACAGTTTTCAGGTTATTCTGCCTTCGATTCAGTGGCTGCGAAGATGGGACTGAATTCCAGCATCGAAGAACTCTATCTGTTGAGTACCAAAGCCTTGTTACCTTGCTTTGTAATAATCTTCAAGTCATGAGATAAATACACAGTTCATGTAAATTTTTTTCTTTTTTAACTGGTTTAGAAGGAAATTACTGTTACTTAGAAGAAGAAGAAGAAGTGTTTCTTGCGTCACAAGCAAGATGCATACAAAGTATTGCATGTTAAAAATTCTTAAATTTCACATATGTATTATTATACATGGGTTTATGATAAATTGATGAATTAAAAAAAAATGTTTTCGCCGCAGATTAATCTAAGAATTTTGTATCAACAGGATCTAATAGATATAAATTAAAATACGGTTCTTTATAATTAAGGATGAGGTAAATATGGGTGTGTTTTGCAATCACTATAAACGTTATTTGCATAATAGCCCCAAAAATGTTTTTTTTTTGGGTACATATTATTCGGAGAAGAGACCCGTAGCAGCAGACGAACCGTAGTGTCGAGAACTCGAAGAGAAAGGGAGGGGACTGAACAGTGATCTTCGTCTTCGCATCGATTCCCATCGAATCTCCATCTCAATCAATCGCACAAGAGAGAAAGAGAGAGTTTTGAGGAGTGATGTCGAAGAAGAAATCTTCTGGAAACACCATGACGCTCAAGGACTTCCATGGCGGTTCCATCCCTTCTGATCTCCCTCTCCCTTCCGCTCCTGGAATGTAAGTTTCTACATATTCGTGTATATTTTTTTCTTTCTTTGTCTGCGAAATCGGTGTTTCTTGTCGCCGGTTTTGATTTGTGAGGTCTGCGATTTTCTGGTGATTTTTTGTTGGGTTAGTTTTAGGTTTCTTGGATACGCAACGTAATTTATTGATCGATATATTGGTTGATGTAATTCGGATTGCAATCCTCATTCTGAGTTCTTTTGTTTTTTATTCTGATATCGTAGAGCTCCGAGACCTGGTTGCGATAGAACGTCTTGGGGGACTTCAATTGGCCGATCAGATCAGAGGACGAGGCCGAGTTCGTCTCATTCTATCAGAAATTTCGATGATAAGACACCTTTTCTGTCTCTCGCGGCAAATATTGGGCACAATTTCAGCGAAGATGAGCGGAAGCCACTGGACGGTCCCTCGGCTCCGCGTAGAATGGTTAGTGACGACGTTTTCCGGGCTCCTAGCACCTATGTGGCAGTGAAATCGGACTCAGTTTTGGCTGGGAGACTTGTCAGTTGGCAGGGAGCGTCTGGCCCTTGGCCCGTGAAGAAGGTTGATGCTTCTCATTCTGGGATTTGTGACCAAATGATAGGAGGAAACAGTGAGAAGAACTCTATGTCGGGGTCTAACCCTAATAATGCTTGGGCTTCACCAAGGGAGGTGACACTGCCAAGCAGTGAGTCAGGACAATCTCCCTGGGCTACAAAACCTGCTGTTTCCAAACTGGCCCATGTAACTGCCATTGAGCAGGTGCCCTCGGGAAGATGGCATTCGAAGTTAGTAGCTCCTGGTCAGATCGAGAATCTGAAGCATTCAGAGTTGGAGAATGGGCTTTATAAAACTAATGACAATGTGCTCGACCGAGGGGATTTGGCACGTGAAAGAGAGTCTTCAGATGTAAGGTTAGATATGCACATAGAAAAGGGCCTGGGAATTGAAGATGGCATCCCTGGTGGGAGAAAAGTTTCACCCGATTACGAAAAAGGTCCTGCGTCAGCCTGTTTCGAAGTTAAACATGGGAATGTTATAGCAACCAGAAACAACAGGATTTATCCAAATCATTCAGCAGAGCCAATAGTACCTTCTGAAGCTATGGAACGACCTAAGCTGAAACTACTGCCGCGGACAAAACCTCTTGAAAACGTTGAGAGGCCTTTGCATGATGCGAAGCAGGTATATATATGGGTGTCTGTTCAGTATTCATGTAGCTTTCTCTGTTGTTGATTGTGGTGTTCTTTGATGACTCAACCCTTTTAATACAGGAAATCAGGGCTTCCGTTGTTGTTCAGCGTGAAAATGGTAACGCCACTAACGTGACAGGCAAGAATATGAATATTTTGAAACCTAGTTCACCTGCAGATGAGAGTGATAACCCGCAGGCTGAACGTCCCAAACTGAATTTGAAGCCAGTATCGCAGCTGCTTGTTCAGCCACTTGTAAACCCTGAAAGGGAGAGGTAAAGATGTTTCAAACTTTCTTAACTCCCTGATTCTATTACGTTCACATCACAATTAAATTAATTATTTCAGAGCTCAGGGGTCATATAATTAGTGATGAGAAAGAATTTCCTAGTTAAGTTTTGGAATTTGGTGGTAATTATTAATTGGCCAATTCTGTATGCAGCATGCTTTATGCTGATCATGGATAACTTTTATATATCTAAGAAATAGGATATATCAAAAAATGTTGAGAGTTTATTGTTGTTCTTTTATGTCCTGGAATCTTTTTCATTTTAAATTGGCAACATTTCATGCCCTTAGCTTCTTGATATCGTTGTATAAAGCAATGTGATACCAATATGATACAGTGTTCATCTTGTTTCTATTATGTACCTACTGGTTTCCGATCCTGATACAGAAATGCGGTTTTTGGCGGTGCAAGACCTCGAGAACTGGTGAGTCGGGTTTGTTTCTCTAGATACCGACCAGCGATTTGATCTCTCATTTAGTTGCTTGTTTGCCGTCATTGGGTTTAATTGCAAGCCAGTGTTGACGGGTTTGCATCTCAATCGCAACTCCTATACTATGATCAGGTATTGAAGGAACGGGGTATCGATGAAACTGACCATAACGAGTCGGAACAACTCTTTGAAAGGTACCAGATGCATCTAAGCTCTTCTAGTTTCTTTCTTATTCTGAAATTCATATCATGTGTGTTTACGCATGTAAAGCTCTTCTTGTGCTGGTTTATATTAAAAGGGTAAAACCTAACGCTTCCAAAACCGAAAGGATCCCAGATCAAGCATTCCCTTCTCGTCCATTGAATAATATTTCTCGTGAGATTAGAACGGGAAAAGTCGAAAAGAAGGACAACCAGAGTTTAAGCAATGCAGACAGATCCGAAACTGAGATGAGAAACTGGCGCAACAACAATGATAACAACAGCAGGAGGAACAACAGCACGAGAGGGAACGAGAGACATCCGTCCCCAGAGACGTGGCGGAGAAACCCCGTCGAGGAACCACGGAAACCAGAATCTGCGGAAGGAATGGGGCAAAGATACGGGAAAGCGGCCTCGGCATTGGAGCTTGCACTGGCGTTTTCGAAGCCCGTATCAGGGGGAGGGCGAGGGCTTTAAGAAGGTGCAACGAGGAGGGTTGTCGGGACAGAACGTGGTTCAAGTGCAAGTGCCGTTCTCTAGGTTGACGACACAGACGCGGAGGCAGATCAATGGCTACTGACTGATTTCTCATTTGAATTGAATTGGTTCGTCTCGGCAGAGTGATTGTGTGCTCTTTCCTCGTAGCTCTCCACCGTGTCATCAAATCCGTGTGATGAAACTAGAATTTTCTCTTTGATCATACGAAAAATTTCTGCTACAAGTCTCGCCTTAGTGTGTTAGTATGTCTTAACGGAAAAGGAAAAGATAAGGAAAAGTTTTCCGACAATTTTTCAAGGGAATTGGATTCGGTTATTTTCGGTTTAATGTAGTATTTTGTTTTTTGTTTGCAACTTAACCGGTTCTATTTTCCATTTGCATTAGAGGTCTAGCTTTCTTCCTTCTTCTATATAGAAACCAGCTTCATATTTGGATGCGAGTGGGAACGAGAGATTGATCGAAAACTTTCATCTTCTTCCCATGTTCGTCAACCGTATTTCTTAAAACTGATTCTAAGGATTCAAATAAAATTACAAATTCAACATGGGCAGCCTTGTGCTAAATAAAATAACATGTTTTTGTTATAAATAAAATATATTTATGGTGGAACTTACCGTTAGTATTCATCCCGACTTACTGTTCATATATACGGTACTGTTTACACCGATCATATACGTAAACAATAATTTTGGTATTTCTATAAATAGGTCATTTGGGTTCTTCTATTTGTACACTTTCAAGAGTGAGATCAATAAGAAATACATCCTTCTCCATTCTCCTAAAATACCGTTTTTGGTTATAGTTAACGATCTATAATATTCGGGTCGTTTATATTTCTCCGATTTTATAACACGTTATCAGTACGAGCGCTCTTTCACAACTAAAGGTAAAATAACTTATCTTTAATACTAATATTTTCGTTCTCATGATATATACATGTATTCATTGATGTTTGAGTGGAATTAATCCCAAGCTATATATGAATACCGATATTTTTTATAATTAATTTATGGACGGCTATGCCGCCTTGATTATTATTCATGGATGGCTATGCCGCCTTAATTGTTAATTTGGATGGCTATGCCGCCTTAAATATTTATTCGTTATTGGACGGTTGTGCCGCCTTAATTATTAATTTGGACGGCTTTGCCGTCTTAATTATTTATGTGTTATTGGACGATTATGCCGCCTTAATTGTTAATATTGGATGACTATGTCACCTTACTTATTAATAGACTATTGTGTTTATTCTTTATAGATGACAATTTCGTCTGAATTATTTTACTTCTCCAGACGGCAATACCGCCACATATAAACAGTTATATCATCTAATCTATATAAATTAATAAATATTCATCATGCAAAATATTATAAATTTATTGATGGTCATTTATACGAAAATTTTTTGAACTTAATCTAAAAAAAATGTGTTAGTAATAAAATTTACAAATAAGTTTTATAAATTCTTTCATATATCGATAAATTAATTATAAATTATTTGTTTCCTCAATAATTAGTTAATTATATACAGAGTATGATCAATTAATTTTACAAAATAATTTAATAATTTATTTTGATAAATTATTTTATGTATAGTTTTATGATATAAATTGGTAAAATCATTTATAAATTTTTTTTAAAAAAATTTTCTCCAACGGCTACAATTAAAAAAAAAATCAAAATAAAAAAATCAAATTTTGGCTCCTCCACAACGGTTAGAAATAATAAATTTTACCCTATAAATACACTTACCCATTCAATAAAAAACTCACACCAAATCAACTCATTCTCTTCTCTTCTCCCACCGAAAAAAAATTCTCAAGATAAATTTTATTAAAATTCTCTTTGTTCTAGCAGTTTTAGCAGCAACGTTTAGTATTTTATTCGACAAAAATCCCGATCTATTTTTGTTTTCAATTTGCGTTGCGATCTTATCTCTTGTTTACGTTTTACTAATTATAGTAATTTATATGTAATTATGTATTTCGCTATGTTGTCTTATCCATGATAATGAATAAAGCTAATGTATGACTTTTTTTTTTGTTTATTCATAATGGTAAGAATGACAAATATCGAGTTCGAGGTCCTCGTATCATTGCAGTTGGATACTGAGTTGCATCTCGAATCAAAAAGTCTTGATACCACTGTGACAATCCATGATACCGTAGAAGGGCGGGGAGTGATCGCCAGTGCGAGAGACATGGACAAGGGGCGACTCCTGATGAACTTTCGGGTAGGGGGTATAAGGATGAATCAGACGCACCGAAATGAGAGGGATTCGATGGCTGTGTAGGTATGAGACTACACAGTCTAAGATAATTTAAAAGAATTAATTGAGCTACTCATAACAACAAGATGTATCTACCTTTTCGGTTAGCCATCTCGAGAGAACTACAAAGTTAAGCGTGCTGGCCTTGGAGTAATCTTAGGATGGATGACCTCCTGGGAAGTACTTTCCGAGATGTGTGCGAGTGAGGACAAAACACGATAAAAGGTCTCGTGTTGGTGTGTGGGGATAACTTTGATATTCCGTAGCGGCCTCGGGGCGTTACAACCACTATTAAAAAAAAGGTACATCAAACGCGAATAAGGGAAAGGCACTGATACTGTTGCGACATCATCTTCATGATGATTTAAAAAATGAATATTTAACAATCAAAGATCCTGCAGATCTTTGGTTAAAATTAAAAGACCGTTTCGATCATAAAAAAACGGTGATCCTCCCCAAGGCAAAATATGAGCGGATGCACCTCCGATTTCAAGATTTCAAGAATGTCTGTGAATATAACTCGACAATGTATCGAATCACCTCGATTCTAAAATTATGTGGAGAAACAGTTACTGAAAATGAGATGTTGGAGAAAACTTTCTTTACTATGCATGCCTTGAATATTATACTCCAATAACAATATCGAGAAAAAGGGTATACAAAATATTCGGAGCTTTTATCATGTCTCCTATTGGCTGAACAAAATAATGAGCTGTTAATGAAAAATCACGCATCACGACCGATTGGATCTGTACCATTCCCGGAAGCGAAGCTACAGAAAACAAGCCATTCCCTGAAGCAAATGCTACAGAACAACATCATTCCCTGGAGTGAATGTTATGTCTTATAATAGCCGAGGACGTGGTTATTTTTGAGGTAGAGGCCGAGGCCAAGGTCGAGGACGCGATCGTGGTGCCAGCAGAAGATGGATCAGAGGATGTGATCAAGGGAATTCATCCTAAAATCATAATTTTAACAGTAATAAAGGGGTAGCACATGGTCATCAGAACAAGAGGATGAAAGAAGTACATACCACCAGTATGGAATGACGAGACATTGGTCGCTTACTTGTCGTACCGCTAAACAGTTGGTGGACCTTTACCAGAAATCGATTAAAGAAACAAAAGGAAAAGACATTGAGACGAAACATGTCATGAGCGACTATGATGATGATGCTAGTGGTGCTAAAGACTTTGCATACATGGACCTCACTGATATTTTTGCCCATCCTGAAGATGAAGCTCGTTATGAATAAAACTATATAAATATTTGCATACTTCATATAATCATTATTATCTACATATGCAGTCTCATGTATAAATAATTTTATGATACATTATCGTGTCTTATATAACTATTTCTGTTTCATAAGTTAGTAATGATATTATGCGCTATTAATATATCTTTTTTGCAATGTTGTTTTGTCCTTGAATAGAAAACAAATATGGTCAAAACTGCGGATCGATGAGAAGATATATGTTTGACAGATAGTACTACAACACATACAATTCTGAAAGATAAAAGATATTTCTCGAATCTGAGAATAAACAAAGGAAATGTTACTACTATATCTGGAAATATAAAAATAATCGAAGGCTTTGGAAGAGCTGATTTCATTATGTCAGGAGGAACGAAATTTACAATAAAAGATGCATTATTTTCCTCCAAGTCCCAAAGAAATTTATTGAGTTTTAAAGATATCCGATAAAATGGATATCATATTGAAACTATGAATGAGGACGACACTGAGTATTTATATATCACCTTAATCAATTCGGGACAAAAGTATGTGTTGGAAAAATTACCCACTCTATCCTCGGGATTACATTATACTAATATCAATGTGATTGAATCACATGTTATAGTAAACCAGAAGTTTACTGATACATTGAAAGTTTGGCATGATCGATTGGGTCACCCTGGTGCCATCATGATGAGAAAAATTATCGAAAATTTTCATGGTCAACCATTGAAAAACCAGAAGATTTTTCAATCGGAAGAACTTTTTTGTGATGCATGTTCTAAAGGAAAATTAATAATTAGATCATCACAAGTCAAAATCGGGTATGAATTTTTGAAAAGTATATATTGAGTACGATTCGTCATCCATTATACGATATCTTGAGCCACAAACTGGAGATACTTTACGGTTCATTTTGCTGATTGTCATTTTAATAAAATTGAATCCCACCATTAGGGAGAGAAAATTCTAGAATGGTAGAAAATGGAAAATGATCTTAATTGATGTACACCATCATTATCCCACTTTAATCCCCTAGCAAAACAACGAGAACTAGAAGTTCAAAGGATTATACATTTGCAGAATATTGCAAATCAGTTATCTGATTCATTTGCAGATAGAACTAGGGTAATAAGATATTATATAGATGCTGCAAATATTCCTACTTGTATTGAAATTCTGAAAGAACAAATGAAAAAAAATTCGACAAACGATTCCAAAACATGTCTGAAGCGTAGACAACCTATTGGTTCTAAAAACAAAAACCCCAAAAAGGACCCAAGAAAAATGAAATGCTCGATTCGAGGGAACGCGTTCCCAATCAAAGAAATGAAGTATCTTGTAATGATGATATAAATCTAGATAACGGAAATCGTGAGATCTCAATTAATTATATCAGTAATGGTATATTATGAAATAAAAAAGAAATCAAAGAGATTGATGATATATTCTCTTATAATATATCACAGGAAATTGATGAAAATGAGGATCCAGAACCCAGATATATTTCGGAATGTCAAAAGAAACCAGATTGCTGATTGTCAGATAGGAAACTAATTCAAACTGGAGATATTTTTACGGTTCATTTTGCTGATTACCATTTTAATAAAATTAAATCCCACCATTAGAGAGAGAAAAATTATAGAATGGTGGAAAATGGAAATGATATTAATTGATGTACACCATCATTATCCCACTTTGATCCTCTAGCAAAACAACGAGAACTAGAAATTCAAAAGATTATACATTTGCAGAATGTTGTAAATCAGTTACCTAATGCATTTGCAGATAGAACTAGGGTAATAAGATATTATATAGATGCTGAAAATGTTCCTACTTCGATTAAAATTCCGAGAAAATAAATGAAAGAAAATTCAACAAACGATTCCAAAACATGTCTGAAGCGTGGACAACCTATTGGTTCTAAAAAAAAAATTCTGAAAGAGCAAAGGGTCCAAAAAAAAATAAAATGCTCGATTCGAGGGAACACGTTCCCAATCAAAGAAATGAAGTATCTTGTGATGATGGTACAAATCCAGATAATGAAAATCGTGAGATCTCAATTAATTATATCAGTAATGGTACATTATGAAATAAAAAAAAATCAAAGAGATTGATGATATATTCTCTTATAATATATCAAAGAAAATTGATGAAATTGAGGATCCAGAACCCAGATCTATTTCGGAATGTCAAAAGAGACAAGGTTGGAATAAATAGAGAGACGCAATACAAGCTCAATTAGATTCGCTTAATAAGCGAAAAGTATTTGAACATATTGTTATTAAAATCGAAAGAAGTTTCTCTTGTTGGATGTAAATGGGTGTTTGTGCGGAAAAGAAATAAGCATAACGGAATTATAAGATATAAAGCTCGTCTTGTATCATAAGGATTTTTTCAAAGACTAGAAGTAGATTACGAGAAAACTTATTCTCCTGTTATGGATGATATTACATTCTGATACCCAATTAGTCCTGCATGTTCAAAGAATTTAGAAGTGCGTCTCATTGATGTTGTTACTGCTTATTTATATGGGTCACTTAACACGAATATCTATATGAAAGTCCCTGAAGGATTTTAAATACCCGAAATATTCAAAGCAAAACCACGAAAGTTATATGCTATCAAATTACAACGATCATTGTATAGGTTAAAACAATCAGCACGTATGTGGTATAAACGTTTGAGTGAGTATTTATTGAAAAATGGATATACAAATGATCATATATCACCATGTGATATCCGTTGGAATTTTTCACAGAATTTTCAACCGCAATCCGTTGGAATTTTCCAACGAAAAATTCAAAACATATTCTCGATCCCGACCCCAGCCCCGACCGCGAACCCGACCCTGACCTCGACCCCGATCCCGCAGCTCATTTCCCAGTAGGTCACCAATTCTTCCACTACTCTACCTCAATCCTCCTTAACCCTAGAGTTCCAATTGACCATCATCCAACTGTTCTATATTAAACTTCTAATATCATATAACATTAATATATATACATATATAAATGTTTATACATATAAATATTTATGTACATATATATATATATATATATATATATTTGTTATGTGTATATATATGGTTAATATAGACATATCGATATATATGTACGTATATATATATTTACGTATATACACATTCAAATTGATGTATATATATATACATGTATATACACATTATATTTGTACATATAAAAATATATATACACAAAATATACATATATTTGTATATATATATATACGTATAAACATATAAAATACATGTATTTAAATATATATATATATATATATATATATAAATATATATGTATATATAAATATATATGTATAAATATATATAAATATATATATATTATATTTTTCAATTGATTTTTCAATTAAAATCTAAATTTCCAACTGATATCCGTTGGAATTCCGTTGGAATATTTTTTTAAAATTTTTCAAAAATATTTCCAACCGATATCCGTTGGAATTCCTTTGGAATTTTTTTTAAAATTTCCAAAAAAAATTCCAACCAATATCCGTTGGAATTTTTTTCCAACCAACATCCGTCGGAATTCCGTTGGACATTTCTAACCGATATCCGTTGAAAATTTACAACGGATATCTGTTGAAAATACCGTTGGAAATTTTCAACCCAATTTTTCAATTGAATACGTTGAAAATTCCGTTAAAAATTTCCAACGGATATCCGTTGGAAATTTGAACGGAATTTTAAAGGAAATCGTCGTTGAAACGCAGTTGAAAACCGTTAAAAATCCGTTGGAAAATTACTAACGGACAAATCCGCTGGAAAATCCTTTGGAATTCGATGATTTTTTTGTAGTGTGCGTTAGCCTGACGTTCTCAAAAGCAGACTCTAGTTGCTATATCAGATAATCATGTTGCGGTCATTGCATTACATGAGGCAAACCGAAAATCAGTATGGTTGAGATCACTATCTCAACATATTCAAAAAGCTAGTGGAATACCTATCGATACGACGCCTACAATATTGTTTTAAGATAATGTTGCGTGTGTTGCACAGACCAATGAAGGATTCATCAAAAGTGATAGAACAAAACATATCCCCCCGAAGTTCTTCGCATACATCCAGGAGTTTGAAAGGAATAAGGAGATTGAGGTGAGATCATATACGATCATGTGACAATGCAGCAGATCTATTCACTAAGGCTCTTCCGGATATGTGTCATTTACGGGATCTTTGATGTCTTCTTCAGGCGGAGCGTGTAGCTGTACTCTTTTTCTCTTATCAGGTTTTATCCCATTGGGTTTTACTGATAAGGGTTTTAACGAGGCAGCAGCAAAACACGCAACTGTGATTTTACTAACGGTGGCTCCAAGGGGGAGTGTTATAAATAAAATATATTTATGGTGGAGTCCATCGTTATTGTTCACAATGACTTATTGTTCATATACGGTATTGTTCACATCGATCGTATACATAAACAGTAACTTCAGAATTTCTATAAATAGGTCATTTGGGTTCCTCCATTTGTACACTTTCAAGAGAGAGATCAATAAGAGATACATCCTTATCCATTCTCCTAAAATACCGTTTTCGATTATAATTAACGATCTAACATACGGGTCGTTTATATTTTTCCGATTTTATAATAGTTTTAAATTTATTTTAGTGGTTGATTCTTCGAGAAACGATTCTCTTTCTCAATCATGGACCACTTGATTTGTTTTTTCCTTTCAGGGTAAACCTCAATTTGACGAAAAAAGAAAAACAATACAATATTTTTGACAAATAGTGACAAAATTGCAGAACAATACAAATGATAAAACATGGTAATAAGTTAGCGCCGCTTAACCTTAACCCTAAGCTAAGCGGTCATGTTGTTTTCTTGTTCTTCAGTTCAACCTCAGATACGGTTTTAGTATCTCCACGTTCGCTCGTGAAACTGTCCTTGAATGAGCTTCGACCACTCAATCCGAAAGGACGAATCAGATACCACACATCTCATTCCATGGTTATAGTTAGGAGTGGCCATTTGGGTTATTAACCGAATAACCAAGCCGAATCGAATCGAATAAGATATAACTGTATCCGAATTGAACCCGACATCAAAATCGAACGGTTATGATTTTCTTAAATCCGAAAAAACCAAAACCGAATCAAATCGAACTGAATAAAAAATAACCGAAAAAAAACCCTACAATTTCTTTGAAAAACTGAACTTTTTACCAAACCGAAAAATAAACGAAGCGAATCGAACCGAAATTTATATAAAAACTGAATGATTATAATTTTTCTATAACCGAACCCGAATATAACCGAACCGAACTCGAACCGAAACCCGAATTGGCCACCTCTAGATATAGTATAATACCATACTTTGCTTATTTATAATGTGCCCTCTTCCCTCTCTCCATGCCATTATCTTCTTCATGCATATCATAAGAACTTCATAGAGAGAGAGAGAGAGAGAGAGAGAGAGAGAGAGATCGATCTTCAAAACCTTTTGTTCCTAAGCCATGGCCCCATCAGTTGTCGCTCATGTGATTTCGGCTTCTTGCTTTGCTTTTTCTTTGGAACCAAATAAGTTTCTGATGTTTCCGATTTCGAATTTTCGCAAATCTTCTTGGCCGAGGAATGACGATTCTAAAAGATTGAGGGCAAACTATGTTTCCGCTTCGTTTTCGAGCTCTTTGAAAACTTATGACAAACCGAACTCTGTAAATCTCTATGGACGAATACTTTTTTTTTTGGTATACTTTACTATATGACTAGACTCTCGCAAAGTTTCGACCTTTTTTCTTTTCCTATGTCTTTTTCTTATTCCTTGTTTTGCAGGTATCACATGAGTTCACCATCAAGAAGCTAAGGAACATACTTGTGAGTAAAAATGGAGAGAATCGGTTTGAGAGTTTGGAGATGATCGACGCCATTCAACGTCTAGGCATCGACCACCATTTTAGATGCGAAATCGAGGAAATCTTGGGAACGCTTTACAAGCAAGGTGGTCGATATGGATGCTATGGTCATCATGATCTTCGTGAAGTCGCTCTTTGCTTTCGATTGCTGAGACAGGGAGCTCACCACGTCCCGCAAAGTATGCGTTATACGATATTCATTTTCTGAAAATATGTATAATATGGCATGCGTTACACTTTACTTATATGATACATATTGGTTGGATTGGATATAACATCAGGTACCTTCGACGTCATTAGAGATAAAGACGGGGGATTTAAAGACGAACTTCAAAACGACATAAAGGGTTTGTTAGAGCTGTTCGAAGCTTCACAGCTAAGTATAGAAGGAGAAGAAATGCTCGATAACGCCAGAGAGTTTGCGGTTAATCGCCTTAAAGAACTTTGCTTGACCACAGAGACTGGACAAAGACAAGTCATATTGGATATTTTGGACCGACCCCTTCATAAAACCTTGTCAAGACTAACAAACAAAAGATTCATAAGCATGAGTAACATCGGTGGCGAAAAAGAGTGGTGGCAATCGCTACAAAGTGTGGCTGAGATTGATTTCAAAACGCTGAAGTCATTGCATCAAGAGGAAATATCTCAAACCTTCAAGTAAATAACAATGGCTATATAGCAATTTTACATTCCAAAATGTAAGCAGATTATATATACACACACACGCATAATCGCCTTCCTTCTGTTCTTGCAGATGGTGGAGAGATCTTGGTTTGGCAAAGAAACTGAGAAAAGCAAGAGACCAGCCATTAAAATGGTGCACTTGGTCCATGGCGATTCTCCAAGACCGTGGCTTGTCGGACCAAAGGCTTGATCTAACAAAACCGATATCGTTAATTTATGTAATAGATGACATTTTCGATGTCTATGGGGGATTAGAAGAGCTCACCAGCTTCACACATGTTGTCGAGAGGTATACTCTTTTATATGCAACACACGCACACACACATGTACATATATATATATATATATATATATATAAACATTAATTCTTAATCTATGTAATTACGTATATATAGATGGGACTATGAAGAGCTTGAGAACTTGCTTAGTCATATGAGAGTATGTTTCGAGGCTCTAGACATGGTGACAGTGGAGATTAGCCTCAAGGTGTATCAAAAATATGGATGGAATCCGATGGATTCTCTTCGAAAATCGGTAATGCTCATCGCATATTCCAAATTATTCATATTATATGTGTATATATATATATTTGTTGTTGTAGTGGGGGAGGCTGTGCAAGGCATTTTTGGTAGAGGCAAAATGGTTTGAAAGGGGTTACTTGCCAAGCACGGAAGAGTATCTTGAGAATGGGATGGAGAGTTCAGGCGTCCATTTGGTGATGCTTCATGTTTTCTTCTTGTTGGGTGAAGAAATCACCAAAGAGAAAGTTGAATTAATCGAAAGTAACCCTAAGATCGTTTCATCAACGGCTACAATCCTTAGACTTTGGGATGATCTCGGAACTGCCAAGGTAAAATACACACACACATATATATGTATATATATATTGTATAAACAGAGATATGTAAAACCCTAACCCTAAAATGGTGCAGGACGAGAACCAAGATGGGTTTGATGGGTCATACATAGAGTGTTACATGAACCAGAATAAAGGGTCAACGACAGGAGAGGCAAGAACACATGTTTTCCAAATGATATCTAAGGCTTGGAAGTGCTTGAACGAAGAATGTCTGAACCCAAAGCCGTTCTCGAGATCTTCCTTTGCAAAGGCTTGCCTGAATCTTGCGAGGACCGTGCCTATGATGTATAGCTATGACGATCACCATCGGCTTCCACATCTTGACGAATACCTCAAATAGTTTTGGCCCCAAAAAAGAAATTGCAAAAAAGGAGGTTATGATTGTAAATTAGTTTGAAAGTCTTGATCATCATTTATTGGTCCAGCAACAAATTGTAATAATAATAATATGAGAAAAATTGGTGGCAAGAGGAGTATTGTAATAATAATATGAGAAAAATTGGTGGAGAGAGGAGTACAAGATCCTACTCACCATCAAATTCAAGGGGTGGACATTTGGTTCGATTAATTTGGCTATTAATCGAACCGAACCGAATAAAGGTATTTCGATTATTAACCGAACCGATTTAAATAACCGACTGGTTATGATTTTTCAAAACCCGAAATAACCGAATCCGAACCGATGAAAAATTATTAACCATTTGGTTATAAATTTTCATAAACCGAATTAACCGAACCCGAATCGACCCGACCCAAACCGTTTATATATCTTCATATATATATATATATATATATATATATGAATGTCTATATTCTTAATTTAATCATTGTTTTATTATATTTTAAACGTATTTTATCATTGTTTTTATTGTTTTTAAAGTTTGTGTGATATAAACATTAGAAAAAATAATCTTTATTTATTTAATAGTTTTATACCAAAATATGAATTTAGATATTATATTTTAGATGTTAAAATAATTACGATAATATTTTATATTATATTTTATTTAAATATTTTTAATTATAAATGAATTATTTTTTAAATATTATAACCGAACCGAAATTGAACCGAATCTTTATTTGGTTATAGTTTGACATAGACAAAACCGAGTCGAACCGAACCGAAACCGAACCGAATCGAACCGAATAAAATTCATTAACCGTTTGGTTATGAGTTTTAATAACCTGAAATAACCGATCCCAAAATAACCGTAACCGATTAATCTGTAACCGATCGAATATCTGAAAATTTCTGAATGTAATATTAATTTCTAAACTTGTAGATATTCTATTTATTTCAAATTTGCATTTTTGAACACAGTAATTCCTAACTTGCATTTTTTAATACAATAATTCATAAACTTGCATTTTTTAACACAATAATTCATAAATTTTGTTTTGGTCAATTAGTGTTATGGACGATTATGGAACTGTTAAGCAAGTTTAGGAATTATTGTGTTAAAAAATGCAAGTTCGGAAATAAATAGACGCACATATAAGTTCATGAATTAATACTACATCAAATTACAACTTTAGAAATTTTCAGATATTTATCTCTAATAATAATAATAATAATAAAGGTAAAATCCCTAAAAAACCTCGAACTTGCAAAAAAAATATACAAATAAATCGTCAACTTGCAAAACTGTCATTCAAACCCCAAACTTGCAACATGTAACTGAATAAAACCTCGAACTTGCAAATTATTGCTCCAATAACCCGTTGACTTGTTTGACCACAATTTTAGGCGATCAAAAATCCATGTTGGCCCGAAAAACTGATGTCATATGTCTACGCAACCAATTTTAACTGAATAAACCTTCAATCTGATTATGTTTTGTTACGTTGGTCCGGAAAACCGACGTTATTTACTCTCAAATCAGATTAAATTTCGACCCAAAAAATGCTGATGTGACAAAAAATCATTTAAAATTTGTTAGATGGACACGCTAACATCAGCTTTCTGGACCAATGTGGATTTCCAATTGGTTGAAATTGTGGTCAAACAAGTCAATGGGTTATTAGAGCAACAATTTGCAAGTTCGATGTTTTATTCAGAAACAACAGGATTTATCCAAATCATTCAGCAGAGCCAACAGTACCTTCTGAAGCTATGGAATGACCTAAGCTGAAACTACTGCCGCGAACCAAACCTCTTGAAAACGTTAAGAGGCCTTTGCATGATGCGGAGAAGGTATATATATGGGTATCTGTTCAGTATTCATGTAGCTTTCTCTGTTATTGATTGTTGTGTTCTCTGCTCTGATGACTCAACCCTTTTAATACAGGAAATCCGGGCCTCCGTTGTTGTTCAGCGTGAAAATGGTAACATCACTAACGTGACAGGCAAGAATATGAATATTTTGAAACCTGGTTCACCTGCAGATGAGAGTGATAACCTGCAGGCTGAACGTCCCAAGCTGAATTTGAAGCCAATATCGCAGCTGCTTGTTCAGCCACTTGTAAACACTGAAAGGGAGAGGTAAAGATGTTTCAAACTTTCTTAACCCGCTGATTCTATTACGTTCACATCACAAATGTTAAATTAATTATTTCAGAGCTCAGGGTCATATAAGTAGTGATGAGAAAGAATTTCCTAGTTAAGTTTTGGAATTTGGTTGTAATTAGTAACTGGCCAATACTGTATGCAGCATGCTTTATGCTGATCGTCGATAACTTTTATATATCTAAGAAATCGGATATATCAGAGAACGTTGAGAGTTTATTGTTGTTCTTTTATCTCCTGGGATCTTTTTCATTGCAAATTGGCAACATTTCATGCCCTGAGCTTCTTGATATCGTTGTATAGAGCAATGTGATACAAATATGATGCAGTGTTCATCGTGTTTCTATTATGTACCTACTGGTTTTCGATCTTGATACAGAAATGCGGTTTTTGGTGGTGCAAGACCTCGTGAACTGGTGAGTCGGGTTTGTTTCTCTAGAAACCGACCAACGATTTGATCTCTCATTTAGTTGCTTGTTTGCCGTCATTGGACTTAATTGCAAGTCAGTGTTGACGGGTTTGCATCTCAATCGCAACTCCTATACTGTGATCAGGTATTGAAGGAACGGGGTATCGATGAAACTGACCATAACAAGTCGGAACAACTCTTCGAAAGGTACCAGATGCATCTAAGCTCTTCTAGTTTCTTTCTTATTCTGAAATTCAGATCATGTGTGTTTAGGCATGTAAAGCTCATTTTCGGCTTTTACTTCTTGTGCTGGTTTATATTAAAAAGGGTAAAACCTAATGCTTCCAAAACCGAAAGGATCCCGAATCAAGCATTCCCTTCTCGTCCATCGAATAATATTTCTCGTGAGATGAGAATGGGAAAAGTCGAAAAGAAGGACAACCGGAGTTTAAGCAATGCAGACATATCCGAAACACAGATGAGAAACCGTCCCAACAACAATGATAACAACAGCAAGAGGAACAACAGCACGAGAGAGAACGAGAGACATCCGTCCCCAGAGACGTGGCGGAGAAAACCCGTCGAGGAACCCCGGAAACCAGAATCTGCGGAAGGAACGGGGCAAAGATACGGGAAAGTGGCCTCTGCAGTGGAGCTTGCACTGGCGTTTTCGAAGCCCGTACCAGGAGAGGACGAGTTGCAACGAGGAGGGTTGTCGGGACAAAAGCTGGTTCAAGTGCAAGTGCCGTTCTCTAGGTTGACGACACAGACGCGGAGGCAGATCAATGGCTACTGACTGATTCTACCCTCTCTGGGGGGTTTCTCCAGTCATTTCTCATTTGATGTCAGCAAATGCTTGTGATGAAACTCATCTGGCCTTCTCTCTTGGATTACTTGAAAATTTTCTGCTAAAACTCTCACCTTGGTGTGCTGGTATGTCCAACGGAAAAGGAAAGGACTTTTCAAGTGAATTGGATTCGGTTATTTTCGGTTTAGTGTAGTATTTTTTTTGGTTTGTAACTTAACCGGCTCTGTTTCCCATTTGCATGAGGGTTAGCTTTCTTCCATCCTCTGTATGGAAACCAGCTTCATATTTGTACGTGAATGGGAACGAGAAATTGCTCGAAAACTTTCATCTTCTTCCTATGCTCGTCGACCACATTTCTTAAAACTGATTTTAAGGATTCAAATAAAATTACAAATTCAACATGGACAGCCTTGTGCTAAGTAAAAAACACCATGTTTAAAATTGAATTTAGGGGAGTGTCATATGATCAAACTTATATGGATTTGAATATCCGTTTCTGTATCTCATAGTCAAATAAATCCTCTACATATAAGAAAAAAAAGAAAGAAAGTGCTATAAATGTGATATATAACATGATTTGTTATATGATATATGTGTTAGATATACTTGCTTTTCAACTAAATTTGAACTAACAAACCAAACTTAGGTGTGTATATATATATATATATATGGATTTGGAAAACGGTACTCTTTCCTGGTAATCCTCAATTTGACCCAAAAAAAAAAAATACTATACCATATTTTTGACAAATAGTGACAAAATTACAGAACAATACAAATAATAAAACATGGTAATAAGTGAACGCCAGTTAACCTTACCTCAAGCGGTTATGTTGTTTTCTTGTTCTTCAGTTCAACCACAGATACGGTTCTAGTGTCCGCACGTTGATGCGAACACCGCGTTCTATATTTATACCCTAGATGGTCTCTACATGTACGAAGTTAGTAGCAAATGCATCAAATGTCGCCAAGAAAATGCATATAAAAACGATGTGATCACATGTTTCGCGCGTGAAACTGTCCTTGAGTTGAGTGAGCTTCGACCACTCAATCCGGAAGGACAAATCAGACTCCATTCCATGGTTAGAATATCGTATCGTACTTGAAGTTTCTGTCTTGGAGAGTGGAAACCCTCTTAAATGAAACACCAACACTCTATTCTTAGAACAAGAACAGAGGATCAATCCGGAACCTTTTCATTTTCCGTGTCTCCAAAAAACAAGACGTAGAACCACTTAAATACAGCATCAAAAGCCCCAAAAGATTGTTGCAGGAGTCACGAAAAATCCGAAACATCACAACCCCACACGTACAATGCATAACCACTTTCAACTGCTCTTCAACACCGGTCTACACCAATAAATTCCAGCTCCTCTTCTTCACTTCAGAACATTTAATGCCTTCATCCTTTACCATGCTTAGTTCTCGAACCATCTGACAACAGCACTTTGCTTATTTATATTCTGCCCTCTTCCCTCTCTTCATGCCATTATCTTCTCATGCATATATATGATCACAACTTCACACACACACAGAGAGAGAGAGAGAGAGAGAGAGAGAGAGAGAGAGAGAGAGAGAGAGAGAGAGAGAGAGAGAGAGATCTTCCAAAGCTTTTGTTCCTAAGCCATGGCCCCATCATCAGTCGTCGCTCATGTGATTTCGGCTCCTTGCTTTGCTTTCTCTGCGGAACCAAGCAAGTTTCTGATGTTTCCGATTTCGAGTTTTCGCAATTCTCCTTCGCCAAGGAATAATGATGCTAAAAGATTGAGGGCAAGC